CCCTCCAGTATCTGGTCTTCCACGAAATCACCGGTGACTTCTTGACATTGCTGCGCCAAATGCTCTGCGATTCAAGGGAAGCAGTGACATCATACTCTCCGGCTTTGACCTGCCGCACTGGTCGGGAAATGCGTACATGCGTAAGTTGTAGCCACTCACCTATCAACCAGTGCCTACTTGTTCCTCCCTCTAATCTCACTAACTCAAGATGCTCATATGATGCTTCCATAAAAAAAAGGCTCATGTGATGCTGGTCTCATGTAGGTCACCCGCCCGAAGGAAGATGCTTTATAATTTGGGCCGCATGTGATAAGGCGTCAATGAATCTCAAGATGAGTATATCCAGTGCCTCTGTACGTTCGTGCTACACCTGATGTGCGCACCGTCTTGGTTTTCTCTGCCTTTTCAAGACGTACCACTGATACAACTGCCTGATGGGCACACTGTTTTCTACTACTACTGCCTGTGTTTACTACTGCTAGTGCTAGAACTACTGTTCGTGACTTGTGTGATTGCTTGTAAGGTGTGATAATATCGATTTGGGCTGTGCCTTTGCTCTTTAGTAACATGACACTTGCTGTAAGACCGCGAGTGAGTTGTGTTTTCATATTCGCAAATCGCACTAATTTTTGCAGTACATGATTCCTTTTCATACTTCCATTTGATGAGATATCGCCTATTAATTCCAGCCGTGTCTGTAAAATAATACAATTTGGTTTTAGACAGAAGGCTCAAGGAGAGCCCGGCACAATTCGGTTAGTGATTTTATAACGCCGACACATTCATTTTCACTGCCATATGGTTACTGGCTTTAATTAGTTATTGTTGTTGTAACTTGCTGCTAATCGGTGGATCCTTGAAATGGTATCAGCACATGTGCCTGTTTTCTAACTAGCCTTCTGTCTTATTTCTCTTAATTTGGAAATATGAGCTTTTATTTATTTTTTCCTTTCTGGTTACTTGTTTTCTCTATAAATTATGGATCATGAGAATATATTTTGGAGTGCTGAGTTAGAAATGAAGGCACTGCTCTTGAAATTATCAAACATATATGTCAAAAAAAGGCGTCAGTCACTGTTAAGCAATGAAGTTGCATTAAATCTGCAAGAAACTTGCTTCATGCTAAACCTGTTTTTTTACAGGAAAGTTTACTTTATTAATCAAAGAATAGAAACATCGTCTGCCAAAAGATTTACAATGAAATCAGGCGGGGCGTCAATCCAGTGAGATGGATTAGTAACACTACCCCATCTTGCTAGCTCATGAGCTACGCTATTTAACTCTCTAATACAATGCTCGATAGTAAACCTCCTAAAGTCTTCGAGAAAAGAGTGAATTCCGGTTTTTACCCCCTATTTTGAAAATTTTGACAGCATTTACCCCATCTAACGTGAATTCATCCGTTTTACCCTATTTAGCGAAATTGTTGCCACAATTTACCCTGTTTAATTTTTTTGTGTGTGCTATCATCAGCGGATCCCAATTATCTGGTCCAGCTAGCACGTCAGATTGACGGTTTTCTCCCTGCTGAACGTGTCCTTGTAGCTTCTCCTGACCGGTCCGGCCTGATATGAGCTCACCAGATCAGGTCGCTCATGTCCAATGCACAACGCTCGAGTTGGGCCGCACCATGTTGGCCTCCATTATTCACTGCACACATCACTCGTATTAATTCCTTCCAATCACACACACAATCCTGCCCCAAACCACTGCCTCCTTTGCTAGGATGGGGCAGGATGACGTAGCCGACGAACGGCAGGCAATGGGTGGCAGCCGGTATATGACATGTCTTCTCCACTCCCATATGCATGACCGCATTCCCAGTTTCTCACCCTTGGTAGTTAGGTTTGAAGAAGTATTCTGATGAGATGACTGAACTTGATTAGCATGACATGTTACCATTGAATAAATTACAGGAGAAATTGTTAATGATATAATCTGAAATCATGTATGTTTTTCTTCAGTATTATCATATACAACCTTAAGTATGGATGATTATGTGGATCAGATTAAAGTGATGTAAATATATGCATGACTTTGTGGATCAGATTAAAGTGGTGTAAATATACTGATATAATATGAAATCATGTATTTTCGAGCGAGCCTGGCGGGAGCGTGCAGCGGAAGCTTGGACGGGCGATGCATCAATTGGGGGTGAGCAACACAAGCGAGAAGCGACTGGAGGCGAGTGGCTGACTCGAGCGCTGTGTGTTGGACACGACATGAGCGGCCTTCATCGGGCCGGGCCGGTCAGGAGAAGCTGCGCAGCCCGGTTCAGCGGTGAGAAAAATAGCCAGAAAAAACTACTGATGTGGCATGCCAGCTGGACCAGCCAATTGTGACACACAAATCAGAACGCTCACAAAATTTTAAACGGGGTAAATTATGGCAACAGTTTTGCTAAATGGGGTAAAACGGATGAAAACTCGCTAAATGGAGTAATTAGTGTCAAAAATGTCAAAATAGGGGGTAAAAGCTGGAATTCACTCTCGAGAAAACTACGACATTCATCAAATAACGGTGCTGCCACCATGGAGTAGCCACCATTGAATTTGAGTGCCTCCACCACCGTGATATTGTCCGATCTTACTACCACATTATGGCATCCTGTTTCCCTCGCTAGCTTCAGTCCTTCATGCTAAACCTGTAGTAGTAGTGGAGAACATCAATCCCCAAACCACAGTGTATCAACATGCTAAACCGGTTGCCCGCAAAAAAAAAAAACAAAAAAAAATGCTAAACCGGTTCCCTAGCGGAGGCAGCTGAGCACGTTGACGACGAGACGCGCGATGCAGTCCTCGGCGCCGCCGTCGTCCCTGACGAGCCGCTCCAGAGCCCTGTTCATCGGGAGCACGCCGGCGCGGTGCAGCAGCGTGGCCGCCGCCTCCGCCGGCCGGCCCGCCAGGAACGGCCCCAGGAACCGCGCCGCCGGCCTCAGGAACAGCGGTAGCAGAGACTACATTGCAGCGCATGCACACGGCGTGAGTCCAACGCATGCCAAGAATTTCAAGCCACTGAATTACTAGCAATTTAGCACGCGTGCGTCGAAAAGAAAGGGCACAAGCAGAAGATTAGGGCGCGGGTACGAAGTACGAGCCTGACACGTACCATTGAGCTATGATCAGGAGGCGCGACGACTGGCCGGCTGGGCTGCTCGCCGTGATTGAAGGCCGCCGGTGTCAACTGGCAGGGGCAACCGGCAATGGCCAATAGCCAAGGGCCCTTGTCGTGTCCTTATTTTCTCTTTATTTCTTCTCTGCTGTTCTCACCGTGATACAAAAGTACAGAACTCACGCAGCCTCGTGCACATATATATACACGATCCGGGTAGACTAGACCGATCCTGCTGTGGACTCGTACTAGACTCGGACACTAGTACGTACTACTTCCTAATCTAATCAGCCGCCGACCTTGATTGCTAGGCAAACCTAAGTACACAACTAGTACGTTGCATGCATGCAGCATGCATAGTTCGTGCAGGACTCTGATAGGACACGAAATACTACTAGCATTACGTGCTAACTATAATTCTATCACACAAATATGAGCTTTGCTACACCTACGGACCATATCTTACAGACTTTAAGTTACGGACATGTGCGGTAGTATTTGGTTGGATGGGAAATTAGAAACAGGGCCCACAGTTGAATTCAAGGGGAGGAGAGATTGGTTAGTTGGAGGGGTCCATAAAATGATTCCGTAACCAGTCCGTAAGTCTAGCTTTTTTGCACAAATATACTCCCTCCGTCCAGAAATACTCGTCGGAGAGATGGATGTATCTAGACGTATTTTTGTTATAGATGCATCTATTTTCATCCATTTCTACGACAAGTATTTCCGGACGGAGGGAGTATATGGACGTGTCTACCGAGCGGCCGTTGGCTCGGTAGCACTTCAGGACAGCCTTCCCTTTTCAAGTATCCTGAAATCTAAATTTGACCATAAATTTAAACAACAAGACTGATTGTGGTATAATTTTTGCTCTTGTCGCAGTCGATCTCGTTTGCTCCCGTCGCAGTCGGTCTCGTTGTTTAAATGTATGGTCAAACTTAAATCCTGGAAAGCGTAGGCGCACTATATTGTGGAATGGAGGGAGTACTAGTATCATGATACTAGTGTGTGATACTTCCTTCGTTTCTATTTTGTTCGCGTGTTAGTTTTGGTCAAAGTCAAGCTTTGTAAACTCTGATAAAGTTTATAAATAAAATTACTAACAGATACAAGAATAAATGAACACCATTAGATTTATTTATTGAATGTAGTTTCATATCATATAGATTTGTTATGATAAATGTTTATATTGTTTTTTATAAACTAAATCAAACTTTACGAAGTTTGACTTTAGTCAACTCTAATATGTAAAGTAAATAAAAACAGAGAAAGTATTATTTTTGTAATGCATAGTATCATAAATTAATACTCAAAATAGTACGACATTTAATATGATACGGTATCATAATATGATACAATATCCTCCCTTTTCTCATTTAATTGTGTGTCATATCATAAAAAAAGTCTACTTGACATTTATGATACTGTTTATGATACTATTGTTACGACCAGCCTTAGTACCTAGTAGTATACTAGTATGCTCGCCTTGGATCGGTTGATTGTTGCGTGTGTCCGCGCGCAGCGTGTTGTTTTAAGTAAGTATAGGGAACAATTTAGTGACCAGCGCGAGCAAGCGAGGGATACGTAGAAGGTGAAAAGGCAATTGCTCAAGGGACGACAGGAATCCTCCAAAGAACACAAAAGAAATGAAGATCTGCGTCGAGCATGCATGTTTGCACAAGGGATGCCATCACGGGGACGCAAGGAACAAAAACCTTTTTATTATCTTACTCTATATATTTTCCTCCTCTTCTTCTTGTTGTTGTTAAGCCCACGCATCTCTTATATAGACGGCCAGGGGACGAGAGAAGACAAGGTGAACAACACTGCATTCATACGTACACCGTCGCCGATAAGGAGCGAGGGAGGAGGGGCGCCGGCCGAGGAGGATGGGTCTATCAGGCGCCGTGCAGTGGTGGGATGAGTGGCAGCTGCGCGTTCTCGTGCTGGGCAGCCTCTTCGTCCAGTACCTGCTCTTCTTCTCCTCCGTGGTGCGCAGGCGTGCTCCTCCGTCTTGGCTCAGGCTGGTATTCTGGCTCGCCTACCTAGGCGGTGACGCTCTGGCGATATACGCCCCGGCCACGCTCTTCAACCGCCACAAGCAGCAGGAGCAGCTCGCCGCTGGCCTGGAGGTGCTGTGGGCGCCTGTCCTCCTCATCCACCTCGGGGGGCAGCACCTGATGACCGCCTACAGTATTGAAGACAACGAGCTATGGAGGCGACAAGCCATCACCATGGTGTCACAGTCATGGTTCTCACTTTCAGTGTTATCTCGTCGAATTTCGAAAGTTTCATTAATTTTGTTACACACTGAAATAATTGTTATTTTAGCGACTTTGGTAGTACACCGAATTCAGGTAGTTTTCTAAAAAAAACATAATATTTGCTTAGTCAAACTCAATTGAAAATTTCAGTCTTTTGGCCGAAAAGAAAACCAAAAATTACTGAATTTCTGTGAAAGTGAGAACCAAACCTGTGACTAAAGTGGCAACCGCTGAAATATTTCTAGAACTATGGTCACAGGTCGTGGTCGCCCTCTACGTCTTTTGCAAGTCATGGCCTGGCGGGCAGAAGAGGTTACTGCAGGCCGCGATCTTGTTGTTCGTCGTCGGGATTTTTAGATCCATCCAGAAGCCATTGGCTATGAAGAGCGCCAGTATTAGTAACATAGTCTCTTCTTTGTCACTATCCCCGAGGGAGCAAAACGAGCTCGCATGGGTCTGTGAAAAATTATGCTATTGCTCATTCCCGGGAATTTTATACATAACTACAGAAGAAGAAAGAGCTAAACAGGAGGACATCTCGCTTGAAGAATTTGTACAAGAAGCAATCAGGAGTTTGCCAGAGTTGGCCAGTGATCAAGACCAAGCTGAACTCATAGCATCATGTGATCCGTGGGCGGTTAATGTCTCCAAGCCGCTGGTAGACATATCAGCTCTATACTCTGACCGGATAAAAAACCTACAACATTTTATGGCCCTTGATTACCAACATGCCCATAGTATGTCGAGAGAACAGCTTACTGAGTTGTTTTTGCTCCTCTACACAAAACTACCTAACATAGTGGTTTGCTTTTTCTGTTGTCATCTTTGGCTTCCATTCTTGACCTTAGCTTCTGCCGTCCTCTTCTCCACATACCACAAATATCATGAATACAACGCAACAGATGTCAAGGTAACTTACATCTTGTTTTGGTCGACCGCGTTGCTGGATTTCCTATTCCTCTTCATCAGTGTTTTCATCATGGAGATGGAAACAGAAAAGGTTTCGCAACATAACCTCTTGTCATTTTGTGCTCGTAAGAAGCGACCCACTTTTCTTATGAAGCTTGCCACACTTGTCTGCTACAAAGACTATGTTAACAGTGGCGTATCTAGGGGGTGGACAGGGTGGTCCATGGACCACCCTGGAATTTCCCCATAATCTATATAGCATAGAGAAAAATATATTTTTATAATAAATAAATATATTTATGTGAATATTTTGCATTGGTGGACCACCCTGGCATGTTGGGCTAGCTACGCCACTGTATGTTAACATGCATTGTTATATAGAACATGCACCAACAACGTCCTCACTCCAAGTTGTAGAGTTGGTTCATGGATATGTTACGGATGGTTGGAAAGGATACATCCATGACGCTGCTAGCTACAAGAGATTCAACCTCCACAGGGGGCAGTGGGCTCTAAGGCATCAACGTCATCTTCGGTGGAGCTTGAATATGCCATTTGACAGAAGTGTCCTTCTCTGGCACATCGCCATAGACATATGCTTTCACCACCAGAGCACAACCCCTCGCGGCAGAGAGTGCGCCGCCCGGAGCAGGGTGATATCGAACTACATGACATACTTGCTCTCCATTCGTCCAGAAATGCTTATATCCGGGTCCAGGATTGGCATCTTCACCATTGCATGTGAAGATATCGAGCTCATGCTAGGCGACAATTCTGCACTGCATGACGAAAGAGGACTTGCGCAGGGAATTCTTTCCAGGGCGCAGCAACCTTCTTTATTAGATAACACCAGCATAATAGGAACAGCATGCAGGCTTGCTAAAATGTTGATGGAGCTACAAGATGAACTGGAGAGGTGGGAGGTGGTCCAGGGGGTATGGGTGGAGATGTTGTGCTACTCTGCCAGCAGGTGCAGAGGATACTTGCACGCCAAGAACATGAGTGAAGTTACGGAGCTTCTCACCCGCGTATGGTTCTTCTTAATATCCATGGGGATGGAGACATTGGCCGACAGGTTTCAGAAGTCAGAGTATCTCGAAACCAAGGAAGAAAACGCTGAAGAAGATGATAATGATGGTGAAAACAGAGTCGTCGTGGAGCGCAAGATTAATATGCCCATCTAAAATATTTTCCCAAATATTTATATTGTGCCGTTGTTGATACTTGGATGATGGACTTTTCCTTCCTAGTCGTAATGCATGCATTATGATCGCTTTGTGTTTCAATAACCTTTTTATGGCTTTCCTTTTTGTTTTTTAGTATTTTCAGTCCACCGCTCTGTATGTGTTGGTGCATGAAAATAATCAAAACTGAGTCTGCCGATACAAATAGTTCGATGTACGAGAGTCATTTTGCAAACGAATAGTTATTCGGCTATATATCATACTCCCTCTATAAATAAACACTAGTAAAATGCCCGCACGTTGCTACGGGCTATAATGCATATAGATAAATAAACTAAAATATTAAAATCGTCTCCAAGATCCAGAACGTCTGGACATGTTCACACATCAAAAGGCGCCCAACGGGCTACCCAAAATCCAAGACAGTCTGGATTGTCTCAAATTCAACCCATATGTGAGGAAGATATATGGTTGTCCAAACTATCCACCATGCTATTTTCAACGTGCGGCCACAACACAAAAGCCGCACCTCACGATGCACCCTCCTTTTTCCTGTCGAATCCTCCCCTTTAAAATTAGATGACGTCCACCTCACCTTCGCCATGGTGTCCTCCCTCGTTCACACCATACTTCTCCACGAACCATCGATAAGGAGTCCCTCGCCAACCCCCTCGCCACCGCCATCAAGGGGGGGGGGGGTGAGGCGTGTGCCCCCCCTCCAGCCAAGGAGGCAGATCCGGTGTCTACCAAGTCATTGTTATGGTGTAGCATACAATTGAATGTCGTGCATTACCACGAAACAGAAGTATGATGTCCGTTGTTGGACATGCAACTCATACGCCATCGTGTTTATTATTAACTCTTTAAGCAACCAACCAATGCATTTACCCTTCTATCCTAACCAAAAAATTGTACTGACTTGATGAAGAATAAAATATGAACCACTCGCTCATGCATTTTTCTGCAAAGCCATCTCTAATGAAATGAAATTTGTCATATTTTCCGAAGGAAATATGCCCTAGAGGCAATAATAAAGTTGTTATTTTATATTTTTTATTCATGATAAAGGTTTATTATTCATGCTAGAATTACATTGATCGGAAACCTTAATACATGTGTGAATACATAAACAAACACCGTGTCCCTAGTGAGCCTCTACTAGACTAGCTCGTTGATCAAAGATGGTTAAGGTTTCCTAACCATACACATGAGTTGTCATTTGATAATGGGATCACATCATTAGGAGAATGATGTGATGGACAAGACCCATCTGTTAGCTTAGTAATGTCTACTACGCGACTTTATCCTTGTAGACGTTGTTGGGCCTCCAAGTGCAGAGTTTTGTAGGATAGCAACAAATTTCCCTCAAGTGGATGACCTAAGGTTTATCAATTTGTGGGAGGCGTAGGATGAAGATGATCTCTCTCAAACAACCCTGCAACCAAATAACAAAGAGTCTCTTGTGTCCCCAACTCACCCAATACAATGGTAAATTATATGGATGCACTAGTTCGGCGAAGAGATGGTGATACAAGTGCAATATGGATGGTAGATATAGGTTTTTGTAATATGAAATTATAAAAACAGCAAAGTAGCAAGTCGTAAAAGTGATCGAAAACGGTATTACAATGCTTCGAAACAAGGCCTAAGGTTCATACTTTCACTAGTGCAAGTTCTCTCAACAATGATAACATAATTAGATCATATAACAATCCCTCAACATGCAACAAAGAGTCACTCTAAAGTCACTAATAGCGGAGAACAAATGAAGAGATTATTGTAGGGTATGAAACCACCTCAAAGTTATTCTTTCTGATTGATCTATTGGGCTATTCCTATAAGTGTCACAAACAGCCCTAGAGTTCGTACTAAAATAACACCTTAAGACACACATCAACCAAAACCCTAATGTCACCTAGATACTCCAATGTCACCACAAGTATCCGCGGGTTTGATTATAAGATATGCATCACACAATCTCAAATTCACCTATTCAAACCAACACAAAGAACTTCAAAGAGTGCCCCAAAATTTCTACCGAAGAGTCAAGACGAAAACGTGTGCCAACCCCTATGCATAAGTTCACAAGGTCACAGAACTCGCAAGTTGATCACCAAAACATACATCAAGTAGATCATGTGAATATCCCATTGTCATCACAGATAAGCACATGCAAGACATACATCAAGTGTTGTCAAATCCTTAAAGACTCAATACGATAAGACAACTTCAAAGGGAAAACTCAATCCATTACAAGAAGGTAGAGGGGGAGAAATATCATAAGATCCAACTATAATAGCAAAGCTCACGGAACATCAAGATCATGCCAAATCAAGAACACGAGAGA